TTTTCATTGATAAAAACTTTGACAGAGGGTTCAAGGAGAAAGCAAAAAGTGCCCCTCATACGTTTATCAGAAAGGGGCAGTGGGAAAGCTGACATCAGCCTAACGTCCACAGTAGATTTTGCGTCAATTAACAAAAACTCAACAACCAAAAACACTTCACTTTCCAGAAGGATATTTTTTGAACAGGTCACCATTACTCTGCATTGAGAGTGGTCTCTAAATATCATTTTCAAAGGTTAGTAGTAATCCAGGCACACAGAAAGTGTAAGAAGTTTGACTTTTGACGCTAATGTATAACCAAAAAGTACTACGAACTAGCCGTGATTAGAGTAAAAAAATCATAATTTTTCAAGGAATGGCCAGTAATTGAGGGACTGTGAAGGCGAAAAACTAACTTACTCAATCGAATCCCTCGGAACTAAGCCACTGAAAGTAACAGCATTGGTTTCAAAGCAGCAAGCATCTTCTGAGGAAGCAGGAAGACAAACTGCAGAAATGACGCTAAAAAAGAAACTAGAAAAATAATCTCAAGTGTAACACAGAAACTGTGCTTGTGTTTGCCCGTCAGAGACGAAAACAGCATTACTGCGACAAACCATAAAATGAAAAGTACTAAACTACAAACTTCGATAACTTACGCCTTTGAAGAACTTAAATTATTGATTTCCAAGGCAATACATAAGAAATTATCATATATGAAAGTTGACTGAATAGTGCACTGAATTGCCGTTTCCTCAGAAAACCTTGGTTTCAAAGAGACCCCAAGTACAGACTAAAAAAAACTGTACAACTAAACACTAGTTTGAAAGAGATCCAAACTAAAAATCGAGACAGCTTTGACCGATAACCTCAATCAAAGCGTAGTTGTCAGGATGGGGTGGCAGAGCAGAATATGTGGCAACAGCTTCTGAAATTATCGCGTCTTTTGCCTTCAGTTCAGCTTCGAGTTTTTCGACGTTTCGTTTCAATTCTTCAATTCGACTTCGTGACATAAACCTTATCTGTAATTTATGGTTTTAAAAACTGGAAAACTCATCATACCGCTCATTCATACTGACCATTTCTACTACAGTTAGTAAACATATCACATTTTAAAGGCTTCATCAATCTCAAGCAAATCAGCGCATTTTTTTAGACATTTCCATGTACCTCTTCTTTTACCTTGTCAACATAGC